CTCGGCGGCGTAGCACAGCCGGTCCTGGGGCTCTTTGTGCTTTATCTGCCTGAGCGCCGCTGTTACCAGAAGAGCTCGTATCTGAGGTATAGGGTATGTTCTAGAAACGGAGATGATGTATCGGCTGTCTTGGTAACTCAAGGGGCACTGGAGATTTCTAATGAAGAATTAATTGGTGACCCCAAAGGTAATATTTGTTTCGTATCAGTTGAAGATACTTTTTTCCTTTCAGGTTTATTCTTGTGCTCTTTTGTCTATTCCCTGTGTGTTGAGTGAGTCAAGACTTTCTTTTATGTCCACTGGATTTATGTGTTAATAATGTTCGAATCTCCCTCATTCCTGCCTCCCGTTTGTGATATGAATAAAGTTTTGTTGTATCGGAGGTTGTGCTTTAAGGGGAATTACTTGCTTTGGTATATGGATCCACCTAAAGATCTGGAAAATTCCAAAACCTGTTGACCTGAGCCTTCCTTTTGAGAGATGTTACACTACAAAAGCTGTACTGGTAAAATACTTTGATCACAACTGCCATCATCATTACTTTCATTTGCTTCCCTTGGAGTAGAGAAAGCGTCCCCTGTGTTGACTTTTGTCATGGAAGCTGTCACCAACTTCTGTGGACATGAAGAAAGGGGCTGAGTTTGTCCTGACTCACCTCAGCCTGTTTGTAGTATTTCCCAATTCCTTCACAAAGCCTCTGCGTTCTCCAAAGCCTTGTACTTGGATCAAAGAGAACAGAGCCCAAAACTGTAGGGACAAAACGCATTAATGGCCCCGTTCATACACAGGTTGTTATTCATCAGGACTTCATAACATTTGTAGGGTTAGTTTGCTTTTTAAAATTTATGATTTATGAATCAAGTTGGATTCATCCCAGGGACACAAGGATGGTTCAACATACGCAAATCAGTCAACATGATACACCATATCAACAAAAGAAAAGAAAGGAAAAAAAAATCACACGATCATCTCAGTAGATGTAGAAAAAGAATCTGACAAAATTCAACAACCATTCATGATAAAAACTCTTACCAAAATGGGTACAGAGGGAACATACCTCAACATACTAAAAGCTATTTATGACAAGCCCAAACCCAGCATAATACTCAATGGTGAAAAGTTAAAAGCCTTCTCACTAAAATCTGGAACAAGACAAGGATGCCCACTCTCACCGCTTCTAGTAAACACAGTATTGGAGTCCTAGCCACAGCACTCAGACAAGAAAAAGCAATAAAAGGGATCCAAATGGGAAGAGACGACGTACAGTTGTCCCTGTGTGCATGTGACACTACATATAGAAAACCCTAGAGCCTCCACACAAAAACTGCTAGAGCTGAGAAACGAATTTGGCAAGGCAGCAGGATACAAAATTAAAATACAGAAGTCTCGCATTTCTTACACTAACGATGAAATAAGAGAAAAGGAAAAATTTTTTTAATTCCTTTTAAAATTGAATAAAAAAAACAGGAATAAACCTGACCAAGGAAGGAAAGACTCATAGTTCTTTGTGTATAAAAGGAAACTGATTTGATTAAGGAGTTTAAAATGATTTAAACAAATGGGAAGATAACCCATGCTTTTGGATTGGAAGAGTTAATAGTTAAAATGGCCGCACTACCCAAAGCAATCTACAGATTTAAAGACTTCCCTATCAGATTACCGTGACGTTCTTCACAGAACTAGTACAAATAATCCTAAAATTTATACAGAATCACAGAAGACCCAGAATCGCCAGAGCAGCACTGAGGAAAAAGAACGCAGCTGAAGGAATAGCCCTCCCAGACGTCAGACAGCCCCGTCAGAGCAACGGCCATCACAACAGCACGGCGCTCGCACAGAGACAGACGCGTGGGTCCAGGAGCAGAAGAGGGCCCAGAAACAACCCACACCCCTGCAGGCAATTAATCTTTCACAAAGGAGGCAAGAATACACAATGGAGAAGGCAAGCCTCTTCAGCGAGTGGTGCTGGGAAGGTTGGGCAGCAGCATGTAAGTCAATGAAGTTAGAGCACTCCCTCCCTCACGCCACACACAAAAATAAACTCAAAATGGCTTCTTAAAGACTTAAACGTAAGGCAAGACACTGTAAATCTCCTGGAAGAAAACATATGCAAAACATTCTCTGACGTGAATCTTAGCAGTGTTCTTCTAGGGCAGTCTACTGAGGCAGTAGAAATAAAAGCAAAAACAAGTAAGACTGAATGAAACTTACAAGCTTTTGCACAACAAAGAAAACCATAAACAAAACAAAAAGACAACTTACGGAATGGGTGAAAATATTTGCAAAAGATGCGACTGACAAGGGCTTAATTTCCAGAATATATAAACAGCTCATATAACTTAATTACAAAAAAAAACAAACAACCCAATCCAGAAATGGGTAGAAGACCTAAAAAAAGCAATTCTCCAGCGAAGACATAAATAGCCAATAGGCACCTGAAAAAATGCTCCATTTATCACTAATTATCAGAGAAATGCAAATCAAGTGAGGTATCACCTCACACCAGTCACAATGACCATCATTAAAAAGTCCACAAACAATGCTGGAGGGGGTATGGAGAAAAGGGAACCCTCCTACACTGCTGGTGGGAATGCAATTTGGTGCAGCCATTAACAGAAACAGTACGGAGGTTCCTTAAAAAACTAAAAACAGACTTACCCTATGATCCAGCACTCCCACTCCTGGGCATGTATCTGGAGGAAACTGATTTGAAGAGAGAACTTGCACCCTCATGTTCATAGCAGCACTGGATACAACAGCCAAGACGTGGAAGCAACCTAAATGTCCACTGACAGGTGACTAGATAAAAAAGTTGTGGTATATTTATATAATAGAATACTACTCAGCCATAAGAAGAATAAAATAACGCCATCTGCAGCAACATGGATGGGCCTGGAGACTCGTTCTAAGTGAAGCCAGCCAGAGAGAGAAACAAAAAGACCACATGATATCCCTTCTATGTGGAATCTTCTAAAATGACACAAATGAACTTATTCACAAAGCAGAAAATGGACTCACACAGAAAACAAACTCCTAGAGCATTTCAGACAGTTGAGTGCCA